CGTTTTTTGTGGACTTTTATGGACCTTTCTGTCTCGGGCGCCATAGACCTCCATTATTTGAATGTCAGCAGACAGCAAGAAGTCTACCAGATCTCCAGATGCATTTGAGGTATCAAAAAAGTACTCCAGAGTGTTGTTCAGCATGGGGGTGAGTAGAAAATGAAGGCTAATCATGTTTTGGGTGTACTATTGCTTTAAATTGGTGCAACTCTATAATGTGGCAAACCCTCTTTGATAGAGATACATATCTATTGGCCAAATGGTCATCGTCCCTCCTGATTGGTTAGAACATCTGTCTTCCAGCTTCGTCCCCTGTATGAGCTGGTGAAAGAGGTTCAGTGCTCAGGGTTAAAAAAACTCTACCTGAAGCAAGCGACAGAGGAGTACCTGGCTGAGGAGCATCCCTGCCACTGCAGGCCCTGCATGAATAACGGCCAGCCGCTGCTGACAGGCACGGAGTGTCGCTGCATCTGCAGACCTGGAACATCAGGGCCGGCCTGTGAGAGGGGAGCTGAGACTGGACAACAGCCAGGTAAACAACATTAACAGCAAACATTACATTTTTTTTTATTATTACCTCAGAACAGTAGTCTCAAACTGAAAATTTGGACTGCAGGTGTCCTGCTACTCTTATATGTGTTCCTTGCCTTAATGGCCACATATCAGAGTATGTTGAAGAAGAGACACATCTAAGAGTATCAGGACACAAGCCCTCGAGGACTGCCTTACAAATTATTTAAAGCATTGGTTCCCAAAGACTACATGTGCTACAAACACACCAGACACGCTTTGAAAATCAAAAAGCTGCTGCTTCATTTTTGAAGCTTGTAGACATTAAGGTCTGATGCGCTTCAAGAGCAGCTTTGATGCTCCTGAAGCGTCCAGTAGATTGTGTCTAGATGCTTCTGATGCTTCTGCTGTTTTTATGCAAGAAAGTCCACCTTAAAACACTGTCTGTGCAGTCAGTTAAGATTAGGATCCTACCATCAAACATAATTTCGCAGTCAGAGGCGTTCCGACCGATGGCACGCTGTCAATAGGAAGCCCCAGCAGCAGCTACCTCAGGCCCAGTCGCCTCCTGGGGGTTTTCTCCTACTGTTAGTGGCAGCTGGAAGTAGATGTTAGCCTTTTTCAGGTATGTGGTACAAACTGCAGGCGTCAAGATAATAAAAGCAAACAAGCTGCTGCTTGTGAAGTGCATTATTTGCTTCAGATGCTCAGGACCTCATGAGGTGCTGCTCCTGCTGCTCTAGACGCGCTGCAGAACCTTTCGATATGTGTCAACCATAGACTTTGCATGTAAACCGGCTTCTTTTGCTGCTCAAAGCGCGTACAGTGCAGAGCATGAGAACGGAGCGGAGCGCCGCGTAAATTCTCGCTCCCCGCACAGGAGGATGTTCGCTCATTCGCTCCGCCACTAAAAGTTGCGGCAGGACACTCAGCTCAAAATCGGCTCTAGCTCACCTTGATTTTCCCGCCGCTCCGGCGAAATCGCTCCACGACCGCTCAAATTTTCAGGAGAAGGCATTTTTCTGACATTTTTCCTTCATGTAATTATGCCAGGGCTCTGAGACACATGACGTTTGATTTAATGATGTGACCTATACATGTGTATTGTCTTATTTAACTGGCAGTTAAATTATCGCACTGTTTCCCAGCTGTGAACGTAACACCTCACTCCATTCATGTTCCCCCGCCTTTCCTATTTAATTAATTTATTTTACTAGACTCCAATAAAAAAGATCACTTCGCATTTCATTGTAAATGAGAAAATAACGTACAATGCATGTATGCAATCCATTTTCAAAAACAAGCTCTTACCACAAAGATCACTTTATGTAAACCCACTCTGTATTGTTCACTATAGTTAGTGCATGTTTTTATGATATTTTATCCAACTTATTTATCACACAATATGCAATCCTTGTCTCGGCGATTCCGTGGTAAAGTTAAAACATTAGACTGTAACAGATTCAACTGCGTAACTATTGGTAAGCAGATACTGCAGTTGCTTAGGGGCCCCCGACCTCTTAGGGGCCCCATCACTGACACCTTTTTGGCCCCCTACACAATCGGTCTCTGCCAAGTGACGGTAATTGTTTACCTCGGGCGCGGTACACTACGCCTTTTCCACCTAAAATGGCGTCTTATCAACAAATGTCATGTGACTGGCGGAGACCGATTTTCCTAAATCCGCCCGTTTTCAGGCTTATGTTAACTGTAATGACTTATCTTGGACAGGCTGCTATGTAAACGGGCCTTTAGTCCTTCGTTTAGCTATGCTGCGGTTGTTTACACTACGCCTTTTCCACCTAAAATGGCGTCTTAGCAACAAAAGTTACGTGAGTGGTGGAGACCAATTGTGGACTAGGCCGTCTCTTTCCACCCAGATAATGTTGCTTACGGGCCTGTTGTTGCGTCGTTATGCCATTGAATTATAAGCACAGACTACGGCATAGGCATTGGCCTAGGCTTAAAGTCCAACATGAATTTAAATAAAGTCTATTCCATTGACTTTGATTGATTGTTGTGAGCGCAACGGAGCGAACTGGAGCGGAGCAAAATCCTCGCTCCGGCCTTTGAATTGAAAAAAAAAGAAAAAAAAAAAGAAAGAAAACCGCTCTGCGCTCCACCATATTTCTCTGCTCCACCGCTTAGCTCCGCCCACATGCGTTGGTGCGGTGTGAACATAGCATTATTCTTTCAAGGAAAGAACATGTTTTGTAAATGGAAATTAATAAAAAGAAAAAAACTATCCAAAGTTAAAACTTGTTAAAACTGTTTATTAAAAAATGTTTTTTTTAAAGTCACTTTGCTGTTTTGCTCAGTTTTTGTTTTCAATCATTTTTTCTTTTTTTATATTGAAAGAAATATTTATATTTTCAATTTTTTTCAAATTTCTCTTCATCAGATTGAGTTTTATGATTCACAATATTATTAAACTTTTCACTTTAAGGTCTATAGAAAAACTTGAAGCGTACATTGACCAATAAAAATGTTTCTAACGTCCAGCAGACCAATAGAAATGAGTCTTTGCTCCTCATTCCAGAGGAAAACCAGCCCCAGCAGTAAACAAAATGCGATCTGTAAAATATCAAATATTGAAATGTGAAAGATAACATTTTTAAATACAAAATATGTGAAAATAAATTGAAAAAAAATGTCAATTAGAAAAAATGTAACTAAAGAAAAATCTAAGAAAACAGCAAAGGTACTCTTATAATGTTTCTTATGTTAAAACATCTCTTAAAGTATTATTTCTGGATTGCAATTTTCAATTATTATTTTCAAATTTTTATTCACAGAATGTGTTTCACTCCATAAAAATTAGGTCACTGCCACCCTGGGGGCTACGAAATGAGGATCACTATGTTATTAAAAAATATTTAGATGTTACATTTTTTATTGATTAATCTAATTCATAATTCAGAGTAAATAACCCCTTACACTGTAAAATGCACAATAAAATTCCATTTAAATAATAAAAAATTTTAAGAAATAAATTAGATGCTTACATTAAAGTAGTCCTGATGTCATTTTACGGCGTCTACACTCTGATGCAATGTTTTTTTTTACATCAGGGGCTCAAAAGTTAGAAAAACATCTGTTTTGAAGCAACACTTTGATATGAAGTTAGAAACAATAGGTCATGTAGAGCACAGTAAAATGCCCTCTCCCTCTGTTCTCCAGGGGTGATCCATGGCAGCTGGAGTTGCTGGTCATCCTGGAGTTCTTGCTCTGAAGGGCAAAGGTCAAGAACCCGCAGCTGCAACAACCCTGCCCCTAGAGGAGGTGGCCAGCACTGCATCGGGGAGCAGAGGGAACAGAAACCGTGTGAAGAACCAAATATCCAATATTTACAGTAAGTTATTTTCAAAAACCGAAAAGAAAAGATGTTTATTCCTTTTATCTATAGCTGTAAATGAGCTCGTTCTACATAAATAACGATCAAGTTACCATTCACCTTTCACTCATGGAATGCTGGATCATTGCTTCCACTCAGGATGATTGAGCCTCAGTGCTTTGGGCTTTCTATAACTCCACCAAAAAGGTGTGGACTTCCTCCAAACCTGAAGAATGGATTCATTGAGGTGAGATTTGACACCTACATTTTTTTTTTTCCTTTCTCTCCTTAAATAAAGTGTCTTTGCTCCATGCTTTTTGGTTGAAGGCTGTGGCATAACCAAGCAGTTAAGGTTAGAAAAACTTAATGAGATGTAAAAGTTGGAGGAAAGGGACTGCCGGAGTTAGTGATGAATACAAATTTGTGCATAAAGAGGTCACAACATTAAGACAGGATTGCTATCACTAGCTATTTACCTTGCACCCTTAGTTCCCTCTGCTTAAGAAGTCGTGTCTTCTGTAGCTGGAAAGCAAGATGAAGGGAAACCTGAAACACTGTACAATTTATGTAGTGATCCAGACCAGGATAAAGCAGAATGAAGTGCCAATATTCAACCAGACAAAAATAACATTTAACAAATTTCTTTAAGTCAGCAAACCAAGCAGGAACCCAGTCAGCAGCGGGAACTGGAACCACTGAGGAAGAGAGCTCAGGTTAGTGGCTGGGTTGTAATAAAGCCTTCTCAGAATCCGTGTGGGAACGAGGAGACTGAACTTTGGTTCCTTAACTGTGATGACCAAAGAAACAAGGACCCGATATTCAGAGACAAACCAGGACAATTTTCAACAGGATTTATTTTTAAACAAAAAGGGATTACAGCGAGCGGCTGCGTGTCAGTAGGATCGGTTTCTGGCAAAATCCAGGAAATACAGTAAAAAACAAAACAGACAGAGAAGGCAAAGACAAGGCAAAAACTCGAATATCCAAAGCAGAAAACAGGCCAAGATCAGAATAACAGATGAGACTCACTTGATGACTGAGTTAGACTCACAACAGCACAAAAAATCTGATGCTGATGGAAGGAAAGTAAGCAGCATAAATAGCTGCGGGAAACTTGTGAAACAGATTGGTGATAATCAGCCACCAGACAGACCAGGACGATTTTCAAC